AAGAGGGAGGGAGGGAGGAAGGAGGGAGAGGAGATTGGTGTACTCCCACTTAATGGGCACAATTTAAGGATACATGGCACATCTTTTGGGTGCAGGACACAACTACAAGAGGGATTCTATCTAACAAAGGCAAATACTGTTACCTAGTTGGTTGTACCCTAACATTAACCTAAAATAAACAAATAAACAAACAAATAGAGCAATCCTGTCCTGAGCTTTAAAAAAGAAATAATTGCTTGACTGAATCCTCGGGAAATGTTCTCGCCAAACTTAAGTGCTTTAATAGTTTAATAGTAAAATTTCACAGGGGTTCTCAGTGCTTCAAATAATTACACACACCAGGAAACTAGCAAAGAGAGGTTTCTATCTCCATGTGACCAATTTTTAGCTATATTAAAATATGGTTATTTTTAGTCACAGCTAAAAATATGTTTATAAGAAGCTTACTTTTAATTCTTCTACAGTAGCTTTAATCTTGGCATAGCCCATGTGTTGTTTTCCCATCAAATGGTCATCTACCCGAGACTGGGCATCTCCTACTATCAAAAAGGCTCCACACACTTCACAAACTTCCATCTGTTTTTCTTGGGCAGCAAAACTTTCAATTGTCTGAAATAATATATCAGTTATTACAATAATATATAAAGAAGAGAAACACACAATCCCCTCCCAAATACTTAACATTTAGAACAGATATTTAACGTGTATAAATTGTTATTTTCTGTTTTCCCAAAGCAAAACTACTATAGCAACTGGTCAACTATTAGAAAAGGAATCATGTCAACCGCAACCAATTTGCTATGTTGTACAGGAAACACATTGAGACTTATTCTTCAACTGTTGAACAGCCACAGCACCTTAGAAAAAATTCAAACTAACTTTCAGAAAACTACTTATTTTAGTCTGAATTCATTTCTTGCTTAGGTTTAACAGGTGTGATGTCCACATTCAAAAATCATTTAATTCAGTTCACTTAAAAAAAAAATAAGAAAAGACATTTTAAAAATATCAAGGAACTTATTAACTCACTGAGTATAATCTGAACATATCCTATTCAATACTGGGGAACCAATGACCAATTTTCTTCTACCATCAACAATCTCTAAAACATGTATATTATTATATTCTCCACATAGAAGTTAAGAAGGTAGGAGATCTTAGAAGAATCACAAGCAGGAAAGAAAAACATAAAGGTAGAAGATCCTTGTAAATGTGAGCCAATTTCTAACTAAGGTAAATAAAGGAAAATAATTTAGGATTCATGGCAGAGATTTGCAAACCAACAACCAAAAGACTGTATTTGTAAATACAGTTTGACTGAAAAAAGCCACATCTATTTACTTATACGTAAAGACTAAGACTGATTTTATAATACAAAAGCAGAGTTTAGTAGCTGCCAGGGACCCTGTGGCCTATAAACAAAAAATATTTGCTATGCAGCCCTTTACGAAGTTGGCCAATTTTCAATTTAGAACATTAGAAAACTGTTTCCAAAGGTTCTTAAACAGAAATAGGTACCCAATCATCCACAATGAACAGGCCAGGTAATTTAAAATAAGGTTGTTATACTCACGGAGGTTGTGGACCTAAGCAATTCTCTCTCTTCTTTTAACTGTTCAACTAATTTCATCATCCCCTGGGCCTCCTCTACCTTTCCTTCAGATCCTAATTCTTCAATCTGAAAGGGTGAGGAGAAAAACCAGTCAAAACTTCTCTTTCTAACCAAACTATTTTCTTTCTTGCCCATGCTTCATTAGCATTTAGTGTCTATTCTCTATCTTTTAAATGAGTCTAACTGATGAGTGATAAAATGTATTTTTTTATCCTGCAGTATTTGATAAATCTGGACAGAAGTATATACCCATGAAATCATCACCACCCTGTGGATAATGAACATATATCCATTATCCCCAAGAAAGTTTCCTCTGGCCTCTTTTCAAGACTTCCTCCAACCTCAATTTCATACACATCCCTAGACAGCCACTGATCTTCTTTCTGTCCCTATAGTTTGCATTTTCTAGAATTTTATATAAATTGAATCATAAACAGTGGTGCCTGTGGCTCAGCGAGTAGGGTGCTGGCCCATATACTAAGGGTGGCAGGCTCAAACCTGGCCCCGGCCAAACTGCAACAAAAAAATAGCCAGGCATTGTGGCAGGCACCTGCAGTCCCAGCTACTCAGGAGGCTGAGGCAAGAGAATCACCTAAGCCCAAGAGCTGGAGGTTGCTGTGAGCTGTGATGCCATAGCACTCTACCAAGGGCGACAAAGTGAGACTCTTGTCTCTAAAATAAATAAATAAAATAAAATAGAATCATACAGTTTATATTCCTTTTTTGGTCTGGCTTCTTTCACTCAGGCTAATTGATTTGTCCCTATTGTTACATGTAGTTAATTCTTTTTTGATACTAAAGTGGTATTCAAACATATGGATACATCACAGTTTAATTATTCTTCACTCACTGCAACCTCAGCATCCCGAACAGCTAGGGCTGCAGGCGCATGTCACCACACTCAGTTCATTTTCAACAAGGTCTCACTATCATGTCCAGGCTGGCATCAACTTCCTGGGCTGAAGCAATCCTTCCACCTCAGCCTCCCAAAGAGCTGGTATTACAGGCATGACCCATAATGCCTGGCTGCATTATTAGTATTTTAAGAAACAAATTCTTTTCCAGGTGCTTATAATATTTTATACTTCCACTAGCAGTGTATGATATTTTCAGCTGGTCCACATTCTTGCTAACACTTGGTATGATCAGTCCTTCCAATCTATACTTCTCTAATGACTAATAACATTTAGGTTCTTTTCCTATTTATTTGCCATTTTTGTATTTTTGCTGGTTAAGTGCCTGTCCTAAGTAGTTTCTGACATTAGTGCACATAATTCTCACCTGCTGCAGAAGCACATCAATTTTGTCTGTTAGAACCTGAATTTTTTCTTCATTTTTGCCTGTTGGGCCAGCTGCCTGTTAAAGACAATAAAATCTATTTCAAACAAGTAAAATTCAAAGATAACCATTCAAACTCTTACATACCACACATATTATTTCTGTTTACTATCTTCAATTTCTATTAGTCAATTACATACAGGGTGTCCAAAAGTCATATAATTTCCCATTTTCCCTTTGTACAGTAACTTAAGAAGCACCCCATATTTTGCCAGTCACTGATATTTAAGAGGAAAATCTTATGATTGGCAGTATCAATGTATTTAGTAATAAAGACTGAAAAAAAAACATTGCCTTTTATGTTTTAAATCATTCTGTTTTTTTTAAAAGTTTTAAATCATTCTAAAAGAACAAAGTAATGAATAGAAGACAGTTTCAAAAACATGTAGTTTAGGGAGGTCTGAGTCTCCAGACAACACAGGCTCTTTACAATAACTGTAAATTCATTTCATACTTACCCCAGAGGACTGCTGGTTTTGAGATAACGCCAAACGAGCATGGCCTCGTCTGATTCTACGTTCTACTTCTGCAAGTAAGCTCTGTAAGTATCGCAAAAAATCTCTCTCATAGCCAACTTTCATAAAACGAGAACTCTTCTCATACCTAAAAAAAATGAGAACAAAACAAGCAATACTTTCTAAATATTTATCCATTACTACTCACATACTCTATCTCAACCAGTCTCAATAACAGATGCATTTAGGCTAAAGAGAAAACCAGGTGAATATGAAGTGAATTTCTGGTTGCCATTAGGGGAAGTAAATACAGAGCATTGTGTTGGGTTCAAAGCATAGGTTTAACACAAGGGTTTGACTACCAGCTCTACCACTGTACTGGATCTGTAACCCTGGACCTGTAGGTCATCTATAAAATCAGGGCTGTTAAAAATCAAATGTCACAGGAAAAAAGCCCGGCATATAGTACATACTCATATGGAGGTTAACAGAATCATTACTGAAGCTATATAACCTTATTACCATCCCTAGCTATTGACTAGACTTCTCTCAAATGTTCATTTTGCTTAATTTCAACCATTTAATTCCATCCTTGTTCCCTTTAACCAATAATGACTAGGGACGAAAATGACAAAAAAGCACACAACTTACTGTTTTCGTAAGTTTTCATCATGAATTTTTTCACATGGGCCTGGGGGGGGAAAAAGAAATAAGAATGTATAAATTATCCATGACACCAACAACCTTTCCCTTGCCAAAAAAAAAAAAGGAAGTTATTTTTTCTTTTTTAAAAGAAAAAGATGTATTTTATCACTAAGTAGTCTGGAGACACCTAAAGTGATCCTACTGAACTATAAAACATTATAGCCAAATAGCCCACGAAAAGTGAGCTCCTCAGTCTTCAAGGTCAATATAACAGAGAGCAACTAAAGGGTAAAAACATGTAGAAGGGAAGGGGAGAAAAAAAGCAAGGAAAGAAGGGGAAGAAGGGAAAAATTGTTCCTTACTGCTACCACAGAAAACTCTGGATCACTGGTCTGAACCACATAAGATACCTCCACATAAAGTTAAACAGCACAAGACTAATACCCTAAGTCCTACTCTTCCCACCTCCAAAAGGCAACCAAGTTCAACTTTTATATGTTTCTTTATTGAGGAAGTTATCTCCACATTTCTAAAGTTTATTTCACTTTTTCTTGATTTATTAATCTCAGACATCAAAATTTTACGCAAAACCAACATTCAGTGTTCATAGTTTGACTATGCAAGTACTGTTCATTGTTAGGCCAAACAAAAGATGCATTATGATGAAACTGCTGATACACTTTTCATGGAATTTTTTCATTTGTTTAGTTTTCTACAAATCTATTTTCAAATTCTTCTTAAACACTTTAACTCAGCTACAGAAACTGTCTCAATATTATTATTTCCCTTAAGACTCAAAATACATCAGATAATCACTTTCATTTTCTTCCATGAGCCTTCTGTCCTACTTCAACCTGGGATACTCATTTTCTAAGTTCACTATAGAGTTGTGATCTTGATGAAATCCTTTTCTGCCCTGTTATCAGATGAGTTTGGTTAGATTCTCTTGTTTTTCTCCTTAGCTTTGCATATTTTGGTTTCCTGAGAAAAAGTCCGTAGGAGCTTAAATTTGTTGAGATCTTTTATGTCAGAAAATGTCTTCTTTCACCTTCATACATTGGTGTTTGCCTATATACCTAGCCTTGGCAAAAGTATGCTTTCGGTAAGAACCCTGATGGTGTTTTTCTCTGTTGTCTTCAAACTTCCTGCATTAGTACTGACCAGTCTTAAGCCATTTGGATTCATAATCCTGTTACCTATAGTCCTCATGTTCTGCACATGCCTTGCTATGAATCCCTTTCCTTCACTGTCTTGATCACTTATATGACCTACTTTACAGACTGACATCCTTAGGTACTGCAAAATTTTTTCTTAAGCTATTTCTTTGATAATTTCCTTCCCTTTCTGTTTACTCTATTCAGAACTATTAGTCAGCTTTTAGACTGAGCTAATTTTTTTAAAATTTAACAATTTCTGTTCTGTTGCCCAACATTTCAGCAAATTTCCTTGATTTTATTTTCAAATCTTTCCAGTGATTTTCTTTCAGATTTGTCCAGGTCTAATTTCTAAGTGCTTTTTCTTTTTCAAAAGTTCCCTTTTTATGGCCTCCAATAAGTTCTAATGAATACAATATCCTCACATTTCTCTGAAGATACTACATTTAGTTAAGATTTTTAAAAATTTCTCTAATTTCACTAAGTTCTTCTTTCTCTTTTGGTTTTGATCTCTCATGTTGAGGGTTTTCTTCAAATGTGTAGCTGGTGCTCCTTGGCTGGTAACTGGTTTTTTAAAAAAAACCTCCATGGAAGTTACTATGGTTAGGCAGGGTTTGTCAACTAGTGCTTCACCACAGGAAAACCAGGCAGTTTAAGACTCTTTATTTAATAGATTCCCCAAAGGTCAGTACCTGTAGAGATCACTTCTCTGGAACTGTTTACTTTCTCTAGATAAGAATCTTCTTCTCTTCTGCCTGGGGGAAAACATCTGGCTGTATCCTTCTGGGAACAGGGTAGAGGAGAGGCTCACTATTGAGAATACAGACTCATTTCATCTCTTTAAAAGTCTTATTTTACACTCACTACCACCCTGTGGTAATTCTAGAATCTTAAAATCTAGACTCTTTTCGCCTTAATGTATTCCTAATGCTCTAAGGCAAACCCTGCACATAATGAATTAATTGCTTTTATGTATTTAGAATGATAGAAGTTATGTATCAACCTTGAGAGAATTAAGGAAATAGTGAATTACTTTTTAATTTGTGGTGCAGAAGAACTAGAATTTCTCTAGTTCAATTTCTCTGGGTCGGGGGACCCCTATTCTCCTGAGATACTGGGGTGGGAGATCAGTAGATGTACAGGACAATCTAGACTAGTGGCTCTCAAATGGAACACTTTTGCACCCCAGAGAACATTTGGCAATGTCTGAAGACATTTTTTGGTGTCACAATTGGGGGTACTACTGGCACCTAGTGGGTAGAGGCCAGGGATGGTGCTAAACATCCCATAATGTACACAACAGCCCCCTCCCAAAACTGTCCCAACAGTACCAACGTTGAGAAACCCTCAACTAGACTAATCTCTCTCACTTTCAGATCCATGACTCAACCCTGCCTTCTGTGGTACCTGGTGCCTTCAAATCCTGAGCCTGTCCATGGTTCTGCTGCTCAAACACTTGCTTCTGTTTAGTAGGCCCTTCTGCAGGATTTTAGGGTACAGGTTTCTCTGCTTTGTTGAGTTTGCTGCTACTCCTCCATCCACTTGTCATCTTCCAAAAATTTGCTGACATCTCTAATGTTATCTCCTCTTCCATTTACATCTTTTTTTAAATTTTCATTTTAGTGAGGTTTTGGGAGGGAGTGGAAATAGACATGTATGTTTAATTAAACCACCATGTTTAATCAGACTGACATTAACATTCATAAATATCTAAGCCAAAAATTACTTAGACTATCTTTAAGGAAAAAGCCTAATTCAAATTACCAAGAACCAGTTTTTTAAAAGTCATAAATTTGATAAAAGTTACACAGAAAATTCACTTACCAAGATCAGAACGAGTATTTGTGAACAATTCCGCAGGACAAAAACCACAGAGATAATATTTACAAACCTAGTGAAGAAAAACAAAGGTACTTTACTTTTTTAAATTGTTCATTTTTAAAACTATTTTGGAAAACAGTACTAAATAACTATTTTCTAATTTCTTGATATATATATCTTTCAACTAAGTAAGTATAAGAACCATTTCATTTGCTGGGCTTAGCACCTGTAGCTCAAGCAGCTAAGGCGCTAGCCACATAAACCAGAACTGGCGGGTTCAAATTCAGCCTGGGCTGGCCAAACAACAATGACAAATACAACCAAAAATAGCCAGGCATTGTGGCGGGTGCCGGTAGTCCCAGCTACTTAGGAGGCTGAGGCAAGAGATTCGCTTAAACTCAGGAGTTGGAGGTTGCTGTGAGCTGTGACGCCATGGTACTCTACCCAGGGTGAAAGCTTGAGGCTCTGTCTCAAAAAAAAAAAAAAAATTCATTTGCTGAATCATATTAATGAGGTAAATTAGTGACACTTAGACTTCCAAATTTCAGTAAAAGAAAAAATGGTGCTGTACTGACAAAGTTACCAATATTTTCTACTATTTTTAATATCACCTGCAGGTCCCCCAATAGCAAAAACAAGCAAGGGAAAGACATCACAGAAAAAAGGGAAAAATCTTTATTGTAAAATAGAAAACCTACATTATTCTAATTTTTTTAAATAGACTAGGACCTATTTTGTAGGTTAGGATTTAGAAATCAATGTCTAAATCACAGATATGTGTGACACTCATTTAAAGCAACCCAGTGCCATTATTTTTGCTTAAAGGATCTTGTAATACGCCATAGAATGTACTGGGTAGTTTCATACATGCCAATACTTTATTGAATGACTCTTGGTGAGTTTCTATGGTATGGGAAAAAAAACTATTAAAATGAAACCAACTTTTAATTTTCTCCTACTGGTACTTCTATAACTCCTTCAGATGTAGTTAGTCCAGATCTGCTCTATCCCATATTTAATACTGTAACACTGTAAACCAAACCATGTTAATCAAAATTCCAAAGCATCACCCATCCTTCACATTTAACTGCATTGCTGCTACGTGGATTATCAACACAACTATATCACATGACAGAAAAAATAGTGTTAAATTTAAACCTGAGAGTTCTTTCTAGACACTGAGGAATGGCTGCTAAGCTGAAAAGATTGTTTTCTGGGGCTGGGCCTGGATTACAACTGTAATCCCAGCACTCTGAGAGGTCCAGGCAGGTGGACTTGCCTGAGCTCACAGGTTTGATATCAGCTTGAACCAGAGCAAGACTTCACCTCTAAAAATAGCCAGATGATGTGGTGGGTCCCTATAGTCCCAGCTATGTGGGAGGCTGAGGCAAGAGAATCACCTGAGCCCAAAAGTTTGAGGTTGCTGTGAGCTGTGATGTCTGAGGGCGACAAAATGAGACTCTACCTCAAAAAAAAAAAGGATAGTTTTCTACCTCAAAGGCTTTACACACTCATTTGAAACAATGTTGTTCCATAAACTGAAGTCAGAAGGACTAAAATTGTAAAACATATCTAAACAACAGATTTAGTTTTATGCCAGTATTATCCTGGCATACACAGCCTTATGTCTTAGCATCTTCGTACTTTTATTTTTTCCTTATAAGTTCCAATACTTGATTTTTCAGATTATTCTTTATCTTTACAGCTGGGCACAGTGGCACAGGCCTGTACATCCAGCTACTTGGGAGAGAGACTGAGGTAGGAGGATTGCCTGACCCTGGAAGTTTGAGGCTGTAGTATACTATTACTGTATCTGTAACAGACAGTACACTACAGCCTGGACAACACTGAGACCATTTCTTTAAAAAAGAGAAAGTAAAATTAACATCTAATTTGTTAAAACTTTCTGTTCACTGTAAGTGTCATAATAAAATACCAAATGCCAACATTCAATATTAAAAAATATTTTGGCTCGGCGCCTGTGGCTCAAGTGGCTAAGGCGCCAGCCACATACACCTAAGGTGGCAGGTTCAAATCCAGCCCGGACCTGCCAAACAACAATGACGGCTGCAACCAAAAAAATAGCCGGGCGTTGTGGCGGGCGCCTGTGGTCCCAGCTACTTGGGAGGTGGAGGCAGGAGACTCGCTTGAGTCCAGGAGTTGGAGGTTGCTATGAGCTGTGAAGCCACGACACTCTACCCAGGGAGATAGCTTGAGGCTCTGTCTCAAAAAAAAAAAAAAAATTTAAGAATTTCTTTTATTTAGGGGAGGATGAGGCAAAGAGTATGCCACTTTTAATGTGGCCTTCGGGCTATTACATTAATTGCCAGAATCTGCTATATTTATAGCTATAAACTATACTTATATAATAATCTTAAAACTCAATTTTGGGGTGGTGCCTGTGGCTCAAAGGAGTAGGGCGCTGGCCTCATTTGCCACAGGTGGCGGGTTCAAACCCAGCTGCAGCCACAAAAAAAGAAAAATAAACAAAAAACAAAACTCAATTTTTGTGTACAGCTCTTATAGATATGTAACTTCATTATTACTATGCATTTTATGTTTACTTATAAACATTTTAATTTCAATTTCTCATTTTTATTGAAATGGGAAACAAATTCCCATACTCCACGGTTTGGAGTATAAAATTTTAAAGATTTTTAGTATAAAATCTATAGATTTTATCTAAAGATTGATTTTGGCTCAGCGTCTGTAGCTCAGCAGCTAGGGCGCCAGCCACATACAGGGGCTGGCAGGTTTAAAATCCACCTGGGCCTGCTAGAAAAACAATAACAACAACAGCAAAACAGCCAGGTGTTGTAGCAGGCACCTGGAGTCCCAGCTACTAGCGAGGCTGAGGCAATAAAATCACTTAAGCCCAAGAATTGGAGTTTGCTATGTGAGCTATGACTCCACAGTATTCTACCAAGGGCAACAAGTGAGACTCTGTCCTGAAAAAATATATAAATAAATAAATAAATAAAGATTGATTTCACTGTTTTCAATACAACTTCCATAGTTAGTCATCATGACAACATAACTCTACTGTTACTTCTTAAGTATAAACTATCACAATCTCTACTGATCCCTCAGAATAGCTCATCATTAAATCAAGAGGACTAAAACCCATCTCTATTCTTTCTCTTGACTCTAAAATAAAACCACATACAAATTCAAGCTATTTCTAGTAAAGAACAATACATTACTTATTGATACAATAAGTAAAAAGACACAGAGAAGTATGGAATAGTGAAGCAAGCATCTGTAATAGGTATGCTTTGGAAAGGCAACCCAGTACAGAGTTCAAAACTTGGTTGCCACTTAACTGCTACAGAAGCACAGGTTATATATAATTCTGCCTTGATTTATTCACACAAAAAAAGGAGATAATAAATATCTCCAGTGAATATTAAATGAATATTAAAACTAGGGGGAAAGGGTGAGTTAGCCTTATTTTTAAAATACTACCAATTAATTTTTAAAATGCTTTTAGGCACTATGAAGTATAGGCCAAATAAGACATGCCTGTCGGCTCGGCGCCTATGGCTCATCCGTCTACTGCTCCAGCCACGTACACCTAAGGTGGCGGGTTCGAATCCCCAGCCCGGACCCGCCAAGCAACAATGACGGCTGCAACCAAAAAATAGCCGGGCGTTGTGGCGGGCGCCTTTGGTCCCAGCTACTTGGGAGGCGGAGGCAGGAGACTCGCTTGAGCCCTGGAATTGGAGGTTGCTGTGAGCTGTAATGCCATGGCACTCTGCCCAGGGGGACAGCTTGAGGCTCTGTCTAAAAAAAAAAAAAAAGACATGCCTGTCTGTGGGCTAACCAGGAGCTATCAAATTTAGTTCAATCACCCAATCTAACAGGAAAAGATTGAAATAAACCACATGACCTGCCCTAAAGGCATCCAGCTACTTTAAGAGAATCCGGACTAGAACCTATTTTCCCAATTCGGTTCAGTGTGCCTTTTCCACTCTTCAACACTCAAGATACTGCATGACCATTTAAAAGTACATCAAAATTGTTTGTTACTCTATCCAGGCTTGGCACCTGTAGCTCAGTGGGGTGCCAGCCACATACACCTGAGGCTGGTGGGTTTGAACCCGGCCCAGGCTAGCTCAAGAACAATGACAACTCTATCAAAAAAATAGCCAGCCATTGTGGCGGACGCCTGTAGTCCCAGCTACTTGGGAGGCTGAGGCAAGAGAATCACTTAAGCCCAGAAGTTTGAGGTTGCGATGCCCAACATTCTACTGAGGGCGACATAGTTGAGACTGTTGTCTTAAAAAACAAAACAAACAAAAAAACCAAACTGTCAAAAAAATTAAAACAATATCTGGTGTTAGATACAGTGATGGTAAAGCGACATGAATACTAGAGGGCCAAGGGACAATTTGACAGCATCCACCAAAATGTAAAATTGCTTTTTACATTTACTTTTACTGTTACTAGGTTACTTTTACTGTTCTAGGAAGCTATCCTACAAGTGGATCAGATATATTAAAACATACTGGAATATTCACTGCAGCTTGGTTGGCCAACAGCAAGAGAATAAGACATCTAAATATTGAACAGGAAACAAACAGTAGTTGAAGGAATTTTAGTAATTCTAAGCTCCGAAAACATAAAAGAGTAAAACCAATTCTCTCATACCTCAATGTAATCAATCCTTAAATGAGAAAATCGTTTAATGTAAGGAAGACACATGTATTGGTTTTAAGTACAGTATGCTAACACACCTTAACAAGCAGTCCTTTTTCTCTAGCATTTACTTCTTCAAACACAGGTATTCTCAATCCCTAATATGAATTTCTTCCAATCACAAAAGTACACGAAGAACATCTTAATGACTTTTTCCGTCTATATCTACTTAAATCAAACAGCAAGAAACATTAATTCTCCCATTAGCTAAGCAAATATTTTCTTTTCTTTTTTTTTTTT